TGCATTTTGACTTGTTGAAGCTCATGCAGTCGGCACTGGCCCATTTCTCAAGCCTATCAAGGTCCCTCTGGATGGCATCTTTTCCCTCAAGTGAGTCCACGGCACCACACAGCTTGGTGTCATCGGCAAACTTACTGAGGGTGCACTCAATGCCGTCATCCATGTCGCTGACAAAGATGTTGAACAGCACTGGACCCAGAACAGACCCCTGAGGGACGCCGCGTGACACTGGTCTCCATGTAGACATCGCACCATTGACCACAACTCTTTGAGTGCGACCATCCAGCCAGTTCTTTATCCACTGAGTGGTCCATCTGTCAAATCCGTGTCTCTCCATTTTAGAGACAAGGATGTCATGTGGGACAGTGTCAAACACCTTGCACAAGTCCAGGAAAACGACATCCGTTGCTTTACCCACATCAACCAGTGCTGTAGCTTTGTCGTAGAAGGCCACTAAATGTGCAGTTGCTCCAAGAGTTGGATGTTTTTTCTGACATTACTGCATGAACTACGTGCTTGTGTCTTTATCATCACGAGCTAAAACTTCTTTTATCTTCAAGTTTGCTGTCTGTAGCTGATAATTATCAGTCAAAATTGTATCAGAGGTGGGAAAAAAAATGTATTTAGACTTAACAAAGACATTGAATACCATTGTGTACAGCTGGCAAAATTTTACCAGGGAGAGCCTGTGCTTATTTCTGAACCTGCATTTAGATATGGCCGAATTGGAGTTTTTAAATGGCCAAAATTAATTGGGAGTCCACAAATGCAAATAGAGCTGATATGATTTTTTTCCAAAGAAAGATGATCATTGGAGAAGCGTGGCCCACAGCAGCAGAGGCAGCCCGCAGGAGCACAGCTCTGCCACCCGCACAGGGACAGACAGTCTGAGGAAGGCTCACTCCTGCTTTCTGCTCCATTTTCTAGGGAGACCTGATTTCACTGGCCAAGCAAAGTGACCTGCCGGTCAAAAAGGTGGAGACCTGGTTTCGGCACCGGCGGGCCCAGGACCGGCCCAGGCTGATGAAGAAGTTCTGTGAGGCCAGGTAGGTGGGCCAGCAGAGGCTTTTGGTGATGGAGCCCTCCAGCAAGGTCTGCACGCCATCCCCATCCCTTGCCCTGTCCTTAGCCCCAGACACACTCCCAGAGGAGCCCGCTGCCAGCTGTGGCTGTGAGAGGAAACTTTGTACCATGAGGCTGGGTCTCACCACCGCCCGCTCTGGCGACAGAGCCACCATGCAGCGCTGCCAGCTGCATCCGTCTTTCCACTTTTAACTTTAGAAAGTTAAAGTTGCTGGAGGGATTTTGAGCAGCAATGTGTTGCAAAATGCGTGAAACTTCTTTTCAAGATGAACTTGATACAAAAATAAAATTTTAAAATATTCTCAGCATGGATTGTTGAGCATAAAATAAATCCATGAAGTGCAGTTAGTAGGCAGTGCAAGCCATGAACAGAGGTAGGTAAAAACTGAAAAACACCAGAAAGCACAGAAATCTTCGTAGCATTCCTTTTCCTCAAGCTATTTGCTCTCTCGTATGAAATCTTCCTGTATATCTCAGTAATACATGGAGTCAGAATGAGACCCCCATCAGGTACAAGATCTACCCTCTCTCCCTCTCTGAAAACACAAATTATTCAGTGCTTGAGTCCTGTTATTGTGCTTTTTAAAAAACATTCTCCTCCTGAAAGCTTGTTCGCTCCTCCATATTACAGCATTTCTGAGGAAACTGATAAAACCCCCAGTACTCCTGTGCCATCACTGGGAAAAATTAGGCGCCTTCCACAGGCTGTGGTTTAGAAGCATTTGCATAGGTGATCTGCAAACACCCACGTAACACAAGGAGAGAGGTAGAGGCATCTTGGTAGTCATGCTGCATCCTGTTTAATGCTGATGGAGCACACCAGGAATTTGGTCACCGTATGGACCACAGCAGAGCCTGGGTGGGCTGTGGATACCCTGTTGCCTTAACAGCACATGGGTGCATGTGCGAACAGGGCTGAGGTTTTGTAAACCCCTGTCCAAACAAGCACAGGTTCCTCTGTGAGCTTTGCAGCATCCTAGGCACAGCCTAGAGAGCTATTCCAGCTCTGGAGGGAGCCTTAATTCTTTGGTTTTTCTGTTTTAGCTGGAGATTTACATTCTATTTCACCTCATTCTTCTCTGGGCTGGCTCTTCTGTATGATGTAAGTATATGAGCAGGGTGATGCTGTGGAGCAACACCTTTCAAGGGTTCTTCATTCATGGCAAATGAGGCTGATGGCCCTGGGCCATTTCAAAGAGCCCACCTGAAGATCCTGTGTGGCCATGACTGTATCCAAAGCCAAACAAGGACAAATCAAGGGGCATGGAGCAGAACCATCACCAATCCTGATCCAGCAGAACAGTCCCCTTTTCCCTGGGTGGACCTGGCTAGACGTCAGTGATGGTTTTCTCCTTGTCTTAGGTCATTATGTAAGTGATTCCCCACTGATACACGCACACAGCCCTTGCATCTCAGCCAACAGCAGACCCTGTCCTGGCTGTGGCTGCTGCCCACTGCATACTGAGGTCCTTGGTGTTACTACATCCTGTGCATTCACTAATGACAAGTGTATTTTGCCAACCACTTCCAAAGCTCAAGGGGAGATTGGATCTAGTGGGGGCACACTGACTTCTTGAAGTACTTCTTCACATGGTCATTATGTGTCATTAAAAGGCTATGGGTTCTTATTGCTGCCTTCTCTCTGCACAGAAGCCCTGGTTTTGGGACCACACTGTGTGCTGGCTGAGATTTCCACAACAGGTGAGCAGCAAGTATATGGAATTACAGGATAACGCATATTGGAAGGGAGACCAGGAGGTCTCTTGTCTAACCTCCTTCTCGCAGCACTCAGCTGCAAGATCAGATCAGGTTACCCAGGGCTTTCTCCAGTCTACTTTTGAAAACCTTCAAGGATGGAGACAGCACTATGTCTCTGAGCAATCTACTCCACTGTCTGACTGCCCTTATGATGAAAAAGTTTCTCCTTGCATCCACCTCTCTTGTTTCAACTTACACCTGCTGTCTCTCATCATCGCACCATGGCAAACAGCTTGGCTCTGTCTTCTTGACAAGCTCCTCATAGGTGCTCCATGTGACAGCAGATGGAGAGTCTCTGCACTGAACAGGCACCTCTTCTCTATGATTTCCTCTGTAACCCAAGCCTGGCTTGAGGCAACTCCATGTGTGTGGCCACAAAAGGGCCCAGGTGGTCAGGACGTCCCTTGACCTCTTGAAGAAGGGATAGAGATGAGAGGTGTCCGACACTCTGCAGAGGGGAGACCCCAGCTCCTCTATCCCTCTGCAGACTGACCAGGGCTGGTCCTGGCTTTGGACCAGGCTTGACAGTGCATCAGCAAATGGTTCAGTCACAGGGAACATGAAAATTTAGGCGTGACCAAGCCCTCTTGTCCCAAACGTGGGTTGAATGAAGAGGCTTTGCCTGGAAAGACCTTTCTCCTCTCCTGTCCCCCAGGGCTAGGCACAGGTGTCATGCTGCCTGTCGCTTGTCTTGCAGCCTCTCCTGCCTGCATTGGGCTGGTTCTACCTGCTGGAGCTCTCCTTCTACTGCTCGCTGGTGGCCACTCTGCCCTTCGATGTGAAGAGGAAGGTGAGTGACAGCAGCACAACTGCAACCTGCTGGCTTGGTCAGTCCCGCCAGGAGGGTCTCCTCTCCTGCTGCCAGCTCCCTGGGGGTGCAAAGAACACGGCACACATGCTGCTGTGAAGACCCCTGAGCACATGAGCTCCCCACAGCTCTCATATCCCACCATCGCACCTTGCGCTGAGTCCCAGTTGTGTGCAGCATGGTCTTCCTGCCTGCTGGGCTGGGGAAGCGCTGGGGGCTGACCAGCTGCTGGGTGAACACGGCATCATGCTGCCTCAACCAGAGGCCTGTGTCCTGATGTGCTGTTGTAATGAGGGTACTGTAGACGCACATATGGCTTTTGCAGCATGGGATGAGGTGACCTTCTGGGACCCACAGACCCAGCATCCACCAAGCATCCCTTGCATCGTCCTTGCAGTGGAGACTGCACAGAGCTCTGCAGTTCAATTGTGCAAGCTGAGTTTCAACCTGAGCTTCATTTGATTTTTTAATTTGATGATCACACCTTCAGAGACTTGATGCTTTTCCCCAGAGATGGGGTCTGCCTGGGTCTGCCTGGCTCTCGCAAAGCATGTCCCAGGTTCTGGAGGGTCTACAGAAACTCTGTATTAAAATTACCAATACTGCGATAGTCTTCCCAGAAGAAGCAGGAACCCACTGCCTGGCAGTGATCCTCCCTGGGCCAGAGCCAGAGCCGCCCTTCCCAATCCCTTCACAGAGCACTCAGGAGTCATCTTCTCATACCCGAAAGCATTGCCATTTTGCACATACAGATTTGTCCATGCAGGCATGAACCATGTAGCAAGGTCCTCTCTTTACTTGAGGCATGGAAGAAGGCATATTCCCCATCTGCAGTATCTCCAGCCCATCTCTGTTGTTCACTCTCCGTGGGCAGCACAGGGAGGTTGAAGAGCTGCCTCTGTTATGGCCAGTGGATAGGACCTGCCCCAGGCCAAGGACAATCTGTCATTACAAAAAGCTCTTCAATACACAGTGGAGGTCTGGGAGGAAAATATGGGATGTTAAGAAAGGAACCTTGTAAGGGCTGGTTGATTCATGGGAAATTTATAAAATCTGTCTTCTAGCACATTTGCACCCATGTGTACCCCACTGGTATTTATCGGGGTTTCCATAAACTGGGCATAAAGATGTCTGTTCTTCTTGGGATTATGCAGGACCTCAGAGAGCTGTAGCACAGTGGGGAGCACTGTTGCTTCGTGGAGGTGTTTGACGTGCCTCAGTGAGGCAGCACCATCCAGGAACAGGTGCTGCCAGGTCAAGGCAAGACTGACACACAATCTCTCTTCTCACACCAGGACTTTAAGGAACAGATCATCCACCACATTGCCACCATCACTCTGATCTTTGTCTCCTACTGTGCCAATCTTATACGGTTTGGGATGATAGTCATGCTGGTCCATGATGCTTCTGATCATATTTTAGAGGTGAGTTGCCCTCACCCAGAAACGCCGATCTGTGCTTGTGTCTGTAGGTAGCACTGGGAACCATGTGCCTGACTGCGCATGACACCAGTGGACACAATGTAGACACACTATAGACACCTGTGCTATAGTGCCAGCACATTTGGGAAGTGTCAGATTTACTGCTCTTGGGGAAAAGCAAACAGGACTGGGCGACATCCCCATGAGCCTGCTAGCCCTTGCAGGACATAAGAAATCCCTCAGCCCCCTACAAGGAGAGCACAGGCGTGCGAGACATATGGCAATTTTTCTCTCTGCAGCTTGCTAAGATGCTCCATTACATGAAATGGAAGCGGCTCTGCGAAGCAGTCTTTATTGTTTTCGCTGTGGTTTTCATCATCTCCCGGCTTGTCATTTTCCCGTTAATGTGAGTTATGTTTTCATGTTCTCCGAACATGGGTATTATGCACTATTTGAGCTTCTGGAGAGATGAGTCTCCATGCTGAGGGGAGGAAAGGCAGGGAACAAGACACTACAGGTAAGCTCAAAGATTAATCCAACTGGAGTCCAAGGAAAAAAAACAAGATTTGAACTATATTAATTAATTAATTGACTATATTAATTACTCTAGAGCCACAGCGCTACCTCTCTGTTCCCATGCTCTTACTGTCTCTCTTGGCAGGGATTGTCTCTCACCTGGGGCTGTCTCTCATGCTGTGATGAGATGCTTACATCAGCTGCTGACTTCTCATGAGTTATGGTGGCACTGGGAATGTTTTGGGACTGTCTTTCTCGATCCTCAGTGAGCCATCCTCACCACAGTCTGAGAGTAATCTTTCTCCTCTACTCCTGCTCAAGACCTGGTTTGACTCTTCCAGTGTGTAGGAAGTGGCCTCCTTCTATTGCAAACACTGGTTCCCACAAGACAAAGAAGTTACAAACTGTACTGGTTAGAATTTCCCAAGAATTTCTTAGCAGACTAAGAAAAGCCTGCTTAAAGCTCTATTAAGATAAAATTAATATAGAAATAATGGTGTGGTAATTTAAAGTGACTCACCATTTATTAGGGGGAAAAAAAAAAAAGAAAATCATGAGTACAAGCTAAGGATTCAGGAGGTAGGATACTCGACATGCTGGAAGGGTATCAGCAATGATACCTCCAGAAGCCACACACAGGCACCAGCCTTTGAGAATAGCTTTTGCCTACACACCTCTGACATACTGCCAGCCTCTAACTATGCTGAAATTGTCCCCCTTTCTTTACCACTGCCAAGACACCTGGAAAAGCTGATGCCAGTTGCCATCTCAGAAACTCATTCCACAACACTTGCATTATAGTCTAAAGTTTCTGTTTTCTTTCAAAACCAAACATTTCATTTATTACACACAGAAGAATTTTTAAAATGGGACATGTTATACACGCATAGGGACAAGTCTGCATTGCTGTCCTCTGTTCCTGCCCTGGCTCCATACCAGTACTGAAGATGCTGAGTTTTGAATTTTGGTTCTGCTGCTATTTAGTTTGGACGCCTGTGAGGCTGACTTTGCATAACAAGTCCCAGATTCTGGTGGTGAAATGGCTCCCTTAGCAATAAAAGCTTGAGGCAACTCTCCTGAGAAAGAAACTAGAATAACCATGACTTCAGTTGTCTCCAACACAAAAAAGTCAAGCCCCAGTATCTCAACCTGCTGTATTGTAACATAAGGACAAAGAAGATAACAGATGTCCCAGGTCAAACCAAGGGTCCATCTACCTGCCTGCAGCAGCAGCAAGAAGCAGAGCAAACACACACTATGTCCAACAGTTTCCCAGCTTCCAATATGTCTTAGATTTCATGTCTGAGATAACTCGCAGAGGAGGACACGTGCTAGTTCGTCATTTCCCTCCTGTGTTGAACTGCTCTCCGTTCTATCTGCTCTCCATTTGCAAACCAGTGCTTGCCTCCTTTCTGCCCCTGTCACTGATGATACGGAGTTCTGTGACTTCTGCCAAAAATAATGCCCTGCTCAACTGTTCCCTAACTTCAGTTAAAAAATTAATTTATAATTTTTTCATTTAAGTGTTAGTGGCCAGGTCTCCTTACAGTTTAATTTTTGTTCACCCTGCCTCTCCAGACTTATTTTAGGAGAAATTCTGCCAGCTTCTGCTTCTTCTGGGAAGCATTGCAAGTTTCCGATAACCAGCATGTCTGTAAAGACTATCACGGTGCTGGTGATTTTATACAGAGTTTCTGCAGGTCCTCTGGGACCTGGGAAATGCTTTGCAAGAGCTGGGCAGAGAATGGAGCCTGATGGTGCAGTCCTAGCACAGCTCAGCTCTGCCCTGGGGACAGATGAGCCAAGTAGTTGCCCAGAAAGACATTTGACCCTTGTAAGTGTGAAGGTACTCAGCCTGCTTTAGTCTTGTGTCTTCTGATTTGTCTCTCTCTCTCTTTCCCACAGCACATACTATTACTTTGTGACCAAATTTCAGTTGTTCCTCATTAGCTGTCTGATAAACATTTTCCTGATGATCCTGCAGTTGTTACACATTTTCTGGTCCTATCTAATCATCCAGATGATCTCCAGTGTCATCCTCCGTGGTGCGGTATGAAAAAATCCTTCTCTTCTCTGAGAGACCATGAGCTCCAAGGTGACCCCTGCAGGGAAGGGGAGGGGGAATGAGACTGCCCTACAAATGGCCCGAGAGCTTAATTTACGTGTTGCAAGTTGTGTGAATACCTTTGCTCACAAAGATCAGAGCAGCAGCTCACTTCTAGTTTGCAGCTGCGTCTTAATGTCATGGAAGCCATCCATGGTCCTTTCTCCTCACTGCGTAACAGCTGCTCAGTGTGCAGTTTGGGAGAATAGGAACCTGTTGGTATGTCCAAAGTGGAGTAAGGAAGGAGCAATCAGGTAAACATGGTAGATAGCACACTGTGTATTTGGACTTGTTAGTTTTGCGTGCGTTCCACAGGCTTTTGGTGCATGCCAGAGTTTGTATAGGGATCACTGGAAGAAACATTGTCATCAGAGAGGCCTGTTCCCTGGCCTGCCTTGCAAATGTAAGCAGGTGGCATCTTGGTAGCCTTTGAGTAGATTTGTGAAGGCTTTGGGGATCTGCGGCCAGAAAAAAAAAACCACCCCACAGTGTTGGTGTTATGCCTTCAGCTTACCTAGACCTACCCCTTCATTGAAGCTACATTAAGAGGAAAAAAACCAGTTTTTCTGGAGGAAATGATGGCGCATACTCTCATCAAGTTTGTAGATGATTGCAAAATGAGACCAGTCAATATGGTCACTGGACAAACACATGTTGACTTTCAGACCTTTGACAGTAATAAACTGGACAGGAAAATATGCAGAATAACTATATGTAGAATAAATACTGACTTATTTTCAGAAAGTCACATTACAAGAATGTTATTAGAATGACAAAAAAAAAGAGTTCAAAAGTTAGGTGAAACCATAAAGTCAACCTCTGGCAGTTTGCATTGGGTTTGCACGGCAAGGTTTTGGTAGCAGGGGGTCTGCTAAGAGTGGCTTCTGTGAGAAGCTGCTAGCAGCTTTCCCTATGTCTGATAGAGCCAATGCCAGCGAGCTCCAAGATAGACCTGCTGCTGGCCAAGGCTGAGCTCATCATCACTTCTGTGACAACATATTTAGAGACGGGAAGAAAACTCTGCAATGGCAATTGCAGCCAGAGAGAGTAGTGAGAATATGTGAGAAACAACCCTGCAGACACCAAGGTCAGTAAACAAGGGGAGGAGATGCTCCAGACTCCAGAGTAGATTCCCCTGCAGCCCACAGTGAAGACTATAGTGAGGCAGGGTATCCTCCTGCAGCCTGTGGAGGACCCCATGCCAGAGCAGATGGATGTGTCCAAAGAAGGCTGTGGCCTCATGGAGAGCCTGTGCTGGAGCAGGCTCCTGGCAGGACCTGTGACCCCATGGAGAGAGGAGCCCCCGCTGGAGCAGGTCTTTTGGCAGGATCTGTGTCCCCATGGGGGACCCACACTGGAGCAGTCTGTTCCTGATGGACTGCACCCCATGGAAAAGACCCATAGTGGAGAGGTTCGTGGAGGACTGTCTCCCACGGGTGGGACTCCATGTTGGAGCAGAGAAAGAGTGTGAGGAATCCTCCCTGAGAAGGAAGGAGCAACAGAAACAACATGTGATTAACTGACCAGAAGCCCCATTCCCTGTCCCCCCACGCCACTGTGGAGTGTAAGGTAGAGAAATTGGGAGTGAAGATAAGCCTGGGAAGAAGGGAGGGGTGGGGGGAAGGCATTTTAAGCTTTAGTTTTTATTTCTCATTATCCTACTCTGATTTCATTAAACTGATTTCCTCAAGTCAAGTTTGTTTTGCCTGTGACAGAATTGCCGAGTGTCGTTATCTCAACCCACGAGCCTTTCGCTGTATTTCTCTCCCCTGTCCAGCTGGAGAGGGGATTGATGGAGCAGCTTTGTTGGGCACCTGGCATCCACACAGTTTAAGTCACCCTCCCAGTGCAGGGATAAGTGCAACACTGTTTAAGGACATGATCATGCCTGTTATTTTTATTTTAGCTGTCAGGTTAACACACCAGTGCTGTGAATGAAAACAGGACTAGTCCCCTTTAATATGTCCCATCATAAAGGGTTAGCAGCTCATCCAAGTTGTCTGTCTTTCCCACAGAAAGGAAAAGATGCCCGAAGTGACACCGAGGAAAGCGACAGGAGTGAAGCAGAGGATCTGGAAAAGAACAAAGAGCAACGCAGGTCTCACTGCGAAACACTAAGAGCTGGGCAGGCTCCTAAAAGTGGGGAGGCTGAATAGGACCTGGGGGATGAGGTCAGACAGGCTCACAGATGGCTTCACAGTAGTCTGCCTGAGGCGTCATCCAAACAAATTGGAATATCATCGTAGTGTTTACAGGCAGTTAAGTCACTTCAGGAGCTGCTTTCTTCATTTCTCCTGTTGGGACCATTCTTTTACTACTACTCTATGATCATTTATCCAGGAAAAAAAGGTCTACCAGCCAAAGTCTCCTCGTAAACAGAACAAGAGGGGTTGAACAAGCTACTGTAGTTATGACACCTAACTGTGGCTATCTCAAAACCTTCCCAAAGGTTCATGAGATCATGAATTGCAACTGCTGAAGACTGAACTGGCTTGCAGTTTCAGAACGACTCACTGGCAGTCGTTCTCAGCCGCCTTGTGAAAGGACTTGCATGTGACAGACACTAGCTTAAGTGGCAAGTAAGTTTTCAGCTGTATAGTATAAAACGGTCAGGCTTTGGGGAAGGATAAACCATTTCTGCAAATGAGGCCTGGCCAACTGATTGAAGCTGTATTTGGTGTATGAATTACACAAAATAGCTCACGTGTCGAAAAGATTTTGCTAACTGAATGTCTGCTCAGGGAGAAGGCTCCTAAAATTGAAAGCAACTGAAACTCTTCCAAATGCACACTTTTCCACCAGAAATTATAGTTTAGTCTAAATTAAAACTTTCCCTAGGGATATTATTCATTTTATTGGTGTCATTTTCAAAATTGGAAAATAAGAATGTTACAATACCAACATTTTAATGGGGGGTTGGATGACTTTTCACCTTGTAATATATTGTATCTGATGTCATTTTCAGAATTTATAGTAGAACATAAAACTTAAATTCAATGTAAAAATGAATTATACCTAAGCCAAAGAGTCTGTTTTACCTAGATTTTGCACGATGCAGAAGTTTCTTAGGATATCAGATCTTACGTCAGTAGGAAAATCTTCTTAGAAACTTACTGGAGGTCCGACATCATTGCTAACTCAAAAAGGTTCAGAAAATGCAGAGGAGATATATATATATATGTAGATTTATCTATGTCTATAAACAACATACAGAAACCTGCAAACACTGTCTTTAAAATGTTTTCTACTCAGGTTTTCAGTATGCTTCCAAGGTGTCTGACATATTTTACACAAATACTTGGGGAAACTGAGAAATGCAAAGAGGTGGAGAACAGTAACTAGGACACACTGCTGTGAAGAGCCACAGTCTATCTCCCACATCTGACCTATGCAAGGCAAAATATAAATAAAGTCAGGAAAGATGTGTGAGAGAAAGGCAGAAGGATCTCGGCCAGCATTCCCCTGAAGGATTCTGCCATTCGGATCTGCAGCAAGCAATGCTGAACAGCAGCCACCCCTCTCTGTGGGACACCAGCCTCGAGAAGGATGTCACCCAGCCCCAACTAGCTGCGCTTTGCTGGGAGTGCAAAACCCTTCATTAGGATACCTGGTGTAAGGATTTGCCCAGGAATTATTTTACTCTGTCTGTCCAAGGATGATGCTTTCTTTTAAAACCCCAGTGATACATGGGAATCTCAGCTTTTACATAGATTTATGCAGCCACCAGGGCACAAGAGTGCAGCTGGCCATCAGACCTGAAGAACAGACCCAGCCTTTCACTGCTGCCCGCCTCATCACGGGGGAAGAGCCAGCTTTGCTCTCAGCCCATGGAGATGGCAATGCCACAGCCTGGCTGGAGGCTGATGGATGGACTAGAAGTCAAGGAGTGGAAGCCAGTCTGGACTGAGAGGGCTCCACATTTGCAGGCCTGAGCAGAGTAGCTGCTGCGATCCTGACGCAGTTCTCACAGCAGCAGGGTTGCTTTTCACCAACACCTCTTGGGTTTTAAGGCCTCGCCCATTCTCTCGAGATGATAATCATTCAGCTCAGGAACTCTCTTAAATACATGTTCCTTTCACTGTTGCTGTGTCACATCAAAGAACAGACTGCTAACATAATGACAGCAACGTTGTAGTACAGCCTCGCAGGTTGGTGCTGCTGCACCCCCCCCTCCCCATCCAGTCAAGCGGACTCTTGTGGCAGCCGTTCTCTCAGCTGCTCCATCCTTGGGAGGCCTGAGTGCCCTTGGAGACCTATTCCCTTCTGCTGTGCTAAGTCCACAGTCCTGCCCATCAAACTCTCTTCCTCACACACAGTCTTTAATTAAGGCTACGCACAGGTCCCTGCTCCATGCACCTTTGTTTCAGTGCTCCGAGATGGGGACTTTTATTCTGCATCTGTACAGCAATGAACCCAAACGGGACTAAAGAAATTGAAGCAAGACTCTTAAGTGCCCCAGTTTGCAAACAGTTATCATCACATACCTGAATGCATAAATCCAGAATAGCCTCCCTCCTTCTGTGGTGCTCTCCAGCCTGGAACAAAGGTAATTTTAACCATAAGTATGTAACCTGGGAAACTTGCTTATTTCAGGCTAAAATGATACTGATACTGGGTATGGCTCGACTGCAGTGCTTGGTTGGTTGCTGAAGACTCCCTTGACATGCATTTGATTTATTATTTTACTCTTACAATATTTTCTAACACTGATGCAATGACTTTCCTGTCTCTCCCAGCTGCTCAAAGGACTGAAAGCCACAGAGGTTAAAGGTCAGAGCAGTTCTTTATTTAGCATCAACCCTGAGGAGTCTATGTACCATAACAATGCTGACCACTGTTTCCACTAATGACCTGCAACCTCTGTGTAGACACAAAGGCTCCACTGCCTTTTGCTTAAGAGTTCATTTGCCAGGTAGAAAAAAAATAGACAAAGTTACAAAGGAACATATCTATTTCAAAATTAAAAGGTTTCACAGAACCAAACTTGATGCAATCTAACTCCCATCAGCTGTAAAGCACATGATTTTTTTTCTTTTTGGTTATGCTGGATCTGGCATCGCTCATGCCCATGTACCAAATCTTCGCACAGAGACACATCCATGAATAGGAAGGGGACAAGGAAGTTTGTTATCTATGACCTGGCACATATCAATGTAAGGATCAAAGAGTACTACAACAGGAAGGGCACTGTTTCCCTTCCTCTGTCCAAGGAGATAAATTCGTCCATTCACAGTGCTGCATCCCATGAAGAACTTCTGGGTCAAGCATTCCTCATCCACCTGGGTCCATTCATCTGTCTCCACGTCAAATCGAAAAGCTCCCCCTCCTATGGTGTACAGAGCACCATTCAGTGATGTGATGCAGAGGTCGTACCTGGGAGGGAAGGAAACAGAATCAATAGAAAGATCTGGCCCTTAAAATACTCAGTGTGACCTTGGTCCTCATATCAAGAGTCCTGTTTAAACAGAATCACGGAAGTGTTGGTGGGACAGGACTTCTGGATTTCTCCAGTCCAACCTCTTCTTGGAGCAGGACCAACACTAGAACCTTTCTTCTCCTGCCAGATCCCAGAATGTTATTTCTTACCTTGGAAGCGGGGAGAATGAGATGACATCCCAGCTGTCCGTCTCTGTGTTCAGTCTTTGCACTCCATCATACACATGTCCATTTTCATCCAGGCCACAGACCACGTAGATCTTGGTTCCCACACTGACAGCATCTCCTCTCTCCACAGGCTGAACCATTGGACTCATGCTTTCCCACTCTGACTCCATTAAAGCCAGGCGCTCCACTGCTGAGACTATCCCTTCATCTGTGCTCCCTCCAAGCACATACAGGTAGAGCCCTACTCCTACTGCACAATGGCTATTGCGGGACTTCTTCATGGCAGGCCCTTCCTGCCAGCTATTGCCCAAGCAATTGTAGATAAGCACCCAATCCACACTATACCACACAAACTCATCCCGGAAATATCCTCCTGTCACAAAAAGGAAGCTCCCTGGAAAGACAGCAGAGAAAAGTATCAGTTACATGATGGCTGAAAATTGCTCCTGAGAACTCGGGTTCTTGTTCCTCCCTGGGCTATACCGATGAGGAGCAAGATGAGCAGAGAAAATCACTGCTCTATCGGTTTGCAGTATTTGATTGCTCATCTGCACAGATATGCTGGGCCTACAGAATGCAGTAAGTTCTTCCAAGTCTGCTCCCGCTCTTGAACAGTTATGGAAAGAACCTCTGGGGATCTCATGTCCAAACTCCCACTTGAAATGACCCTACCACCAGCACTAGATAAGGGAAGCCATGGTACTGAGCTGTCTTGAAAGCCTCCAAGCATGAAGATTTCACAAGATCCATGAGTAAGTTTAACTTAACAGCAACTATAAACCAAAAGTCACCATTTGTCAAAACCACCATGAAAGAGAAGGCCAAAAAAATATGCTGCTTAAAGCGAAGTCATTAGACTCGCTTCAGACAACGCTAACGTAAGGAGTCCAATAGTTTCTCTTACATGAAAAGAGAGATACAGCCTTGTCTGACATTCCCAGCACGAAGGAAAACAAAAGCATTCTTTGAACAAGTATGAAAACAAACATGAACGAGGCTTCAGCAACACTGAACACCACAGTTTTACAGAAGCAGTTGACTCCTTGCACTTCAGTCTCTAAGCCTCAACCTCTGTTTGCGTTCGCTCGGTTCCACTTCTAAGTTACCTACTGCTGCTACTGCATACTGGGTGAGGTTCCTGCGCTGCAGTGGAGAACAAGCCTGCCAGGTCCCTGTTTTAGGCTGAAAGAGAAATAGTTCTTGCTGTTCCTTGTCATGCTTTCCTCCCAGCACATATAAGGTGTCATAGCTCCGACCAGCATAAGGACACAGTTCTGTATTTTGCCAGCTGGGTGGAGGACAGCTGTCTAACTTCTTTATTAGCCTGGAAAAGGTATCTGTCTCTCCAAGGCGCTTGCTGCGTTTCACCAAGATATCAAAGAAGGACAAACTCAGAAAAGTGACCCTGACTTCGCCCACCAAATCCAGAAAGTCTTCCTCTCTTGCTGCTGGGTCCTCCATTATCCACCTCATAATACTGTCAAAAACCACATCTTCTCGCGAAACAAAGAGGTCATCACTTTTCAGGAGCTGCATCAGCATTTCCTTGGGCAGCGCCTTAAATTCTTCCTGGCACATCACATCCCCCCAGTGAGTGAGAGCCACATTCATAGCAGGCACATACAGTTCTATGAAGGCAAAGTGCTGTGAGTAGGTCATCAGGCCGAGGCAGTTGGAAACATGCAGCTTTCTCTCCAGAAATTTCTCACACAACAGTTTCACCTTGTCAAACTGGAAAAAGTCAGCAGTTTCCAGTAAGCTGGTCACGTTTTCTTCACCTATAAGCACTTGGGCTGTGCGAGTGAACTCAAGTAGTGCCTGAAAAGACACTGCATCAATCCCTCTTATCACTATGTGGTGTTCAGAGCTCTCTCTTGCCCCCCCAAAAAACATGGCTTCAAAATAACGACTATGTACTGAAAGTACCCTACGGCTGACCTGAAAGAGTCTCTCTCCAACCTCAAGAATTGTGTCTGCAACCATTTCTGTCTGAGGTCTCAGCTCCTCTGGTTCTTGTGCAGGCTCCATGCTTGTTGACTGTCAGGCAGTTAAAATTAACTCAGCCCTTATGCAGCCTTTACTCATGTGAGGTCTCTGGAAACATTATCCCCCTAGGATAAATACAAGATAAGCCAATCTTGTCCTAAAAATAGAGTATGCTTTCTACCCTCCTGCTTTGCTCTTCAGTGTTTTCTGCAACTTTCAGAGCAGCAATAGCAGGAGAGCTGTACAACCAAAAAACCCACAGATTTAATTGGCATCTACCTTAGCCAGGTAAGACCACATGAAATTAGGGGGGCAGTTAGCCAAGCAAAGAGCCTGGACTACGAGAAGGAAAGAGGAGAATCAACCAAAACCTTCCTAAGCACTGACTAAACACCAAGAAGCTGTAGAATAACACTGAGCCCATTTGTAAAAAAGTACCCAGTACAATACTTTTCACTTCTGCAAATCAAAAATATAGGAAAGCTTGAGAACTCCTGGGAAAAAACACTGGTTTCCCCAAAGCCCCATCCTTCATCAGTTCAAGTTCAGTATCAAATTCCAGTTTGCTTGCAGTATTTAGTATATATTTAACTTTATACTTTAGTAAAGAGATGGGGGGGAAGAAATAAGCCCCCATTCAAACCCAGATGGCTGCACATATTTGGTCATCCTCAATCTCAACGCACTAAATACAGCCATAGTACAAGCAACAGCTCACTGATTCCACACAGTGAATTTTTCCAAAGTGTTTGACCAAGCTATTAAGTGGAGAAATTTGCATAGTGAACTCGAACTAGTGCCCCATATCCCAAATAGCCCATTCCAGCAAGACGCAGTCCCATTTCTCGGTGGAGTTCAGCAAGTCAAATAGTGCTATCTGGATCAAGAGCACCTTTTTTACCCCGGAAGTTCCCTCCTGCGTTTCCAGAAGAAGCTTCTGCAAAACTGCTGTTACAAATGGTTTTATAGAGTCACATTTAGGAATAAAACCAATAGAAAAGTATACACACATTTAAAATTTAGTTATTATTTTCATATTCTTATTTTCAGGTACTTGACCTCCAAATACAACCCAGTCTTTACTGCAGGAAAGACTTCTGGGTTGCAGAAAGCCACATATCCTGCAATGAAGACTGAGCAGGAAATGCTGGAAACACACCCCTCTCCAGTTTATGCACTTGACACAGGACTTGAGGCAGGTCTCTCTGTACCCTCTGCATCTACAGCCTGGAATCCACTTAAAAGTGCTTCAACAGGTCTGTTTCTGACGCTACACTCAGAAAAGAGTGCAGAGATGGTGCAGCATGTTATTGGCATCGACAACCAGCAATCACTCCCACCTAAGGGACAGTTCAAGTCTCTACTCAGGCTGAAGGTGAGCAAATTCTGCTCCAAACACTCTAAGGAGCCTCTTTTGAATTGTGCAATTGCATGAAGAACAAGATTTGGAGTGTTAGAAAAAAAAAATTATACTGGAAGGAGCATGACTCTACAGATTGCTCTGTGAAGCGCTCAAAGAATGAACTCCTGGGAGATTAAAAACCAGCACACAGGCAATATGCCACACAAGACAACTGGTGTCTAGTTTCACAGCCTTCTGGAAAAGGCAGATACACTGAGCTAGAATTTACTTACTTCAAGTCCCCATCCATTTCAGAGCTGACCCAGGAAAGGCTACAGATGGGAGTACGGTGCTGTTACCAAAAAGAACAGCCAATACAACCTGTCCCTGGCATGTTTTCTTAACAACCTCTAGGAACAAGACTGCTGCTGCCACCAAAACAATTTACTCCGTCACAGCCTCCTCATAAAGGGGCCTCTGGAAAAGCAGGTGGCAGAAGCCTACAGGCACATATCCACTACTATATATGTGGATATGTAAGATCCACTTAAAGATAGTCTTTAAAATGCCTAACAGAAATGCACGAGTCCGCAGGAAGGGGACCAAATGCTCTCAGTCATTTCTCATCAATTTCCTGTCTTAAGAGTAGAGCACAGCTTCTGATTTGGTCCCTCTCAATTTTGCTGTGTTTATCCAACTGCTGAACAAATTTCATTTAGATTTACAGCTGTGGAGAACTGCAATGTCAGCTGCAGAGCACTCTTTCAGACTAAAAACCAGACATTTTATGAACAGATTAATTTGTATTTATTCACTCAAAGCTACTCAAATCTTGGTATTTCTGCAGTATAAAAGAAATAAAAAATGTTTACTTACAAATCAAGTTATAACAAGCAGAACCACAAGTGGATAGCTACAATATAAAAATATGCAGTATTTCCAGACACTGCCTACGATCGAACATTAGGATCTTAGATATTCCTCCCCTAAAATTCCAAGTATAGAATAGATACTTCTGTAAAGTTCATGTCACTCAGCCAAGAATCATCCTAGAAGTTGGTCTGTAGAAATGCAGGAGCCTTCTCATACACAGATCAGAGTCCACAAGATCTGGAACAAGTGCTAGAAAAGATCTTCTTAGCTACGTAGCTCGTAAAGGTGATGACAAGGTACTATACAAGGAAAGTAATTTTCCTGCATGCACTGGACCAAACAGGCAAAAGAGACTGAACAGCAGGAAAACTACAACACAATGCTTCCCAGCTGAGTACTGACATCTAAGAGGAAGGAAAACGTGTTCTAATGTATTTAGGCTTTAGATCAAATACATTTTAAATGTATTTAAAAACGTAAATAATATAACCAATATTCAGGGCATTCTTTACTAATTTTGCGTGGTTGTTTCAAAACTCTCAAGATGAAGAGGGTCTCAGACAACTCCATGACAATATATTCTCTCTTGTCAGCTCTAAACGATGTAGTTACACATTTATTTGGTGTGAAAAAGGAAATTAAAAAAAAAAATCAGAACTTACTTCTTACACACCATGCCCCATCCTCTCATCATTTATGAAAAGCCACAAAAACAAAAGTTGACTGTTCTCTCACACTAACAAATACACACTCAATCTCCTCCCCCAAAACAGGAAGCTTCTCACACACTGATAATCTTCTCAGATGATTTGCACCCTTGAAGTCTTCAGGGACAATCAAAAGAAAGCATTAGCCATCTTGCTGCTGAATGAAAGGGTTTGGAATAGCTTCCATTCCATCCTGTGGACAAATGAGAACCACAGAAGTCCCTCTGCAAACCACAAGTCCCAGCTGACGTGTGTCTTCTGTTAATTTGTATTGATCATCTGGATCTGAAAAGCAGAAATCCACAGTTAGAATGGCAACAAAAGGAAAAGAAACCAAATTCCACCAGCTTCAAAAGGCACAGACATACAGGGTTTTTCCATGCGTCTCTGCATTGTTTTATTGAACGTATGGACTACGAAAGTGATACAGAAGTAATATCTGATGTCTTCCAAGACACTACTGATTTACTAATTTGTCAAAGTAGCACATGCCACAGTAAGCAATGAAGAACTTTGCTCTGTATGCAAAGCAGCACATATATCTTCCAAGGAATTCAAAGGCCCCTTCATTTATCCAACCAAAAACATACATACAAGTATGTAAAAAAACTCCTGATCTCCTTTCAAATGCCATTATAGACAAACATTTTGGGACCAACGTGAATCAGAGAAAGACCTTGACTTCAGAATGCACCGGTCCATTCTCAGACCAAGCCAAACAAGGCTGTGGATGGAGACAAACACTTAAGACAGTAACAGCCAATTCTACCCTCCTCGAGATGCCAATATATTTCATAAAAATGCACTATGCTCATCTTTTAAAACTCCCTTCTAAGAGCAAAATCAAAGCCTTAGGTGCTTCCTCATAAGCAGGCAAGAGAATGCTCTTCAAAAGTGCTGTTCTATCGCATGATAAATTTTGTTCCAGAGAGAAAAAAGGGAAATGGGAGTACTTATCCTTGGATGTTAAAAAGAAACAAATAATAAGAAAAAACCCTACAGCTCTGTTAGCTGTAAGCTATAGAAGGCTTTACGTCCACAGAAATGCAAAGATGGCATTTACAGGAGAGGTTAAGACAGCGAGATACCAGCTCTCGCTGAGCCAGCGGTACGAACAAAGCCGAAGGCAACTGACTTATCTGCAGGGAGACACACTACTTCATTCGAGCTCTAGAGGAGAAGAGCACTGAATGAGTTATGGAGGAGCTCCAGCAAGGACCACCAGGAACGTTCTAAAACAGGGAACATGCTTAATCTAACTTCTGCTATTTTACCCCTTTTCTTTACAACTTAGTTATCACAAACACGTCTCAGTTTGGATGATGTCTACCTGCAGTTTCTGGTTATTCACTCACAGTGCTGTATGATTTCTGTTAAGAAATTTTTTTTTTTTCTGGAGGGGGGGAAGCTTTACACAGACAGCATATTACTTACCTCGCATGTATTCAATGGTACCATCAAGCACAAGGTTCAGAAGAGGGTCAAATCCTTTCAGGACACCACTCGCTATTGAAGAGCACACACAAAACAATGATTACAGACCAAACCCAAGGATACAGCAACACAAGACTGCGGGAGGGACACATCCTGTTCTCCAGCTCCGTTCCCTCCTTCAAGCAAATGAGATCAGAGATATTAAACAAATCTTTATCAAAGTGCAAATGCATGAGAACCCGGTTTGTGTTGTACCAATTGAAACTTACAAATTTTTCAACCAATTCTTCAAAACACTCTGAAGAAACTAACGTTTTTGTTTTCAGCCCATTTCAGGGGCATTTTAAGAATACTGCCGCATAACAAATGAACACAAGTCACACCAAATAAAAAAACCCACACTAACAAAACCCAACCAAACCAACCCCAAAAGCAATTGATGAAGGAGTATGGCAAAATATGAGGCAAGACTGTAACATTTTGAAGTGTTTTCCTCAGAAAATCCATCTTCCAGGTGCCCTCCTGGGCCATAATCTCTTTAGCATAAGCACTGCCTTCATAGGAATGCACTGCAGACAAATGCTTTGTCCTAAAACAGAAGACTAAATAAATCCCAAGACTACACAGAATGATCTCCCAGTTCAAAAAATACTTGTTGATTACAGCATCACTATCCTTGCTAACAGCCCAAATCAAAGAAGAGACTCTTACAATCCCAGGTGTTCTACGAAGATCATAAAGGAACTCGGTATGAATTCTTTGAGAAGAAAATCTAAACCAATAGATTCAGTGGAATTGTCAACTGCCCCAAAACTACTGAAAAACAAAACCAAACAAAACCCAAACCCTGTAAGAAGGAGACCGAGTAACTTCCAAAACCTTGTAAGCATCACACGCCAGCAGAGCTTTAAAAGAGATTTTTAAAAGCAAATTGCATTTGCTTTGTACAAGCTTCTGCCGAGCATCTCCCACGCAGCCCACTGTTAAATGTCACCTGGTGTGCAGGTGGCACTGCCAGCTGCAGCGGGCCGGCCGTGGGTACGGCACGGGAGCAGGTAAGGGGGGAAGGAAGGACATAAGAGCCCAGAAAGCGATGAAGACACGGTGAAATCCATCAAAGCAATCTGCGAACTCCAGTCCGTACCACTCGCTGCGAAAAGGGGCGACGGGGGTAACTGCAACACCCACACACGTTTCGTTGCTGCTCCAAGTGCCCCCTGCGATGCGACAACACAGCGACGGGCACCAACCGGCTGAAGACAATTAACCGAGGAAGACGGAAGACAAGCGCACGGACGAAACAAAGATTAATTGAATTGCGGCCAGGGGACGGATGGAAAAGCTAAAGGAGGGGAGGGTCACCCCGGCACAGCAACGCGCGACACGCGAGCGGACCGGCTGCTCAGCAGCGTTCCCGGGAAGCGCCGTGGCCGCAGCGCGCGAGCGAGGAGGAAAAGCACCGAGCCGCGGCGTGCACGCGCCCTGCCCCGCGCGCCGCTCACCTTCTCTCCCGCCCTGGAATTTCACTCGGATCGTTTTGTCGATGTACTTGGAGAGATCCAGGATACTCTCCTTCTTCTTCTTCTCCTTGTCCTGGGGGGAGCAGAGGCAGTCGGCGCG